TACATTTCAGGTAGGAGAGAGAGTCTGGGTTAAGTCCTCAGAACTGGGACAGGAGCACGGGATCTCCCGCAAGCTCATGCCGCAGTACTTTGGACCATGGGAGGTCCTAGATGTTATTGGGGATGAACCGGATGGGCCGTCATATGTTATCCGCATCCCTGGTCACTTATGTACTTAACCTGTGTTTCACGCTTCCAAACTCACACCTTTCAGGGAAACAGATCAGTTTCCAGATCGTCCCTCAATGCTGCCTCCAACCATGGATGGAAAGCTCAACATCGACGACATCGTTGACCCCAAGGAAATGCCAGTTCCAAGACCGACAGGCAGGGGACGTCCTCCGAAACTGAAGCTGCAGTACCGGGTTCGGTTCAGACATCACACTGATCCAAAGGAGGATCGATGGTTTACCCGGGAGGAACTGATACAGACCGCTCCTCAGGCTGTTGCCCAATATGAAAAGTCTCTGCAGAAGGGAAAGCGCCAGATTATTGAAGGCTGAACTTCTCAGAGGACTATCGAAGTATGGAGGAGGGAATGCGAGGCCTAAGGCCCCGATGAGCCCCTTTCGCCCTGTTTGCAGTGTTGTCGGCTGCCCTCATTGAAGGCAGGCTCGACTCAAGTATGCCCTGGGCCAGACGCGCATACGGACCGAACACAGGCTGAGGGCAGTTGGGCATGGACAACAAACTCAGGCCCTGGGCCTGTTCTGTATGGACTGGGGCTCAGCCACTCGGGCCTACCGGAAGCTTCTGGGCCGGGGCCCACTACCGCATTACGGCACACAGCAGCAGGCCACTTCGATATAGGGAAGGGCCTGCCCACACATGGACATTCGGGCACTGGCTGCATGCTGCGCAACCGCTTCTGCGCTAACGCTGGCCAGCGCTCACGGGCAAGCTGGAAGGAGCAGGCAGCCATAGCCGAGCTGCGCTGCTGTATGCTGGATGCGGCGCATGGTGGTCCTTAGGTGCATGTGGCATCTGTGAGTTGGGGATCGAGGTTGTGAGTGATTGGAGAGACATACCTGGTGCTTGAGGCGAACGACATTGGCCGAGATCTGCTCGTACTTCGGGGAGCTGTTGACGTCACCAGCGGCGTTGTAGATAGGCTAGATAGGATCTGCCATTTGTAATCTGGACGCCGAGCGCCAGATAGGATGTCGACATTGGTTCTTTGTTGATGATGATGAGACTACTCGCACATTGTCACTTATGAGCTTTTGCTGTACTATTATTTGGTGGGACTCGTGATGCAATTCTGCTTTTGGTTCGAGGTCACGACTATCTGGTCTCTTGCGTACGATGCTGCTTGGTTCCTGAAGTTCGCTATCGCTCATTTTCCTTGCAGAAGGGCGCTCATACTGAACACATCCACGTTCTCGATGTTGTGGTACGCTGGGACGATCTGGTCTCCCCCAGCCCAGACAACCTCGGCATTGCGCAGACGCGCGGCGGCCTGCCTCTGGACCGCAAATCCAACCAAACCTCACTTCATCTCCAAAGTGGCGTGGAAACACGTCACCCGCGTGAAGGAACAGGGAGGCTTGGGCATTTTGGACCCGGATCAACAACTCAAAGCCCTACAAACCAAGTGGGTGATCAAGCTGATCACCCATCCAAAGCTGCCCTGGGTCTCATTGGCCCTGGACCGCATCAGGCGCCTGGCTAAATATGAAACCCCGGCCAATATGACCGGTCTATTCTGGGTAATGTGCAGCAGCTGGGCCAAGGTAGGTACGGAGGAGGGCATAAGGGAAACCTCCTATTGGAGCCAAATGGTCAAGCTTTGGAAGGACATCTTCCCAGCAAGAGTCAGGGAGCCTCACACAAGAGAAGAGATTCTGCGCCAGCCCTTATTTTGCAACCCAGGAATCAAGAACGCCCAGGGGAAACCATTTACCCTCACAGTAAGGGACACCAAATGGGGCAAATGGGTGGAACATGGGGTGTGGCAAATCAAGCACCTCTGGGAGGTCAGTAACCGGTGATGGAAGACAAGCAGAGAGCTCAGAACGCAGCTGAAAGGAAGCCACAAACTAGAAGAACATCTTAACGACTTGGTTCAGGCCATACCGCAGGAATGGACAAGAGTGCTCCGAAAGGAGTCCCCGTGGGGACTAGGGGACTGGGCCACATGGAAGCAGGATGAGGAACCACAGGCTGTATTCAGAATCTGGAACCAGGAAACAGAAAGGAAGGAATGGGCGAGTGCAGATATGTAAGAGATCAAGCGCCCGGGGAGTACCACTAGCCAGTTGGACCAGGCAACTAAAACTCCGATCACTATCCAACTGCAACACCTGCGCAAAGTAAGGGTGGTAGAGTCTGATGATTTCACAATCTACAGTCCAACCACGCCTTTGGTGGATTTGGCGGTGGACCCCGCAGAATGGGCATGGAATCTTAGAGGAGGAAGAACTGGGGTGGCCAGAAGAAATAACATTCTAAACTATACAACAAGAATTTGGCTACAGACTGAGAAGAGGGTCGCACCCACTAGCGCCTGCGCTGTCCAAGCGATGGGAAAACAAAGTGGGAGTTACACCGGAGCAGCTACCCAAACCATGGATACAGATCAACACAATACACATCGGAAGGGTCAGAAGCTTGCAGTGGCTAATTGCCAACGTGGAACTGCCGGTAAACGACTGGTTAAACGATCGCAGGAGCCGAGCACAGAGGGATCCAGCTAACGCACAGTGTGTAGTCTGTCAAGAGAGGGACCCAGAAACAATGCTACACTGTCTTCTAACATGCCCCTGGGAAGCTGCCGTATGGGAGAAATCCAAGTCCCTTTGGGGACAAATCACGTCGTCACCATTCCCTGAGAGCAAAGCGACCATACTGCTAGGTCATGACTTGCCAAGGAACTGGCAGCCATATGAGAAGACCATATTCCAGCTAATAAGGCAGTATACCCTATGGTCAATATGGAAGAGACGTTGCCAGATTACTACTGAGAAGAGGTGGGGTCCTCTACAATTTCCTAGAAACAGATCTCTGGGCACAATGGAAACGAATACAGAGACAGATCCACCAATGCCTGGATGTTACATGCTCAGATGAGCGATGTACATCATAACCGAGGATCCGCAATGTGATAAAAAGGACTGAAAGGACAATGCAGTGCAAGTAGAATCTCAACAAGCAATGTGCATTCTCATACATACAAAAGGGTGCTGAATAGCGCAGTGGAAGATTTAGATACAAGTCCTGACCTGACCGGGACTGACCTCATTCACGTAGCAAAAGATAGCGAAGCAGAATGCTAGAATGCTAATGACTAGCCCAATCAATGTTTGAATGCAGACCAAACATACATCGTATCCATCACCAAGTGTGAAGGAGCCTGGC